GATGGGCCAAGGGGGCATATATAAAACTGGTTTCAGAGGCAATCTTAATTTGTTTTTCGGGTTTCATGCTATCCATGGTCCGCATATTGTGCAATCGATCGGCTATTTTAATGATAATCACACGAATGTCCTCGGATAGGGTTAGCAATAATTTGCGGTAGTTTTCCGATTGCAACGAAATATCCTGAGAATCGATGCTCGATATTTTGGTTAGTCCATCGATGATGATTCTGATTTTTTGGCCAAATAATTTTTCAATATCGTCTAAAGTAAAATGGGTATCTTCCACTACATCGTGCAATAAAGCCCCCGCAATGGCTACAGCCCCCAACCCTATTTCATTGGCCACAATATCGGCCACCGCTATGGGATGAAAAATATAAGGTTCTCCCGACTTTCGCCGCTGATCTTTATGGGCTTCCAAAGCCAATTCGAACGCCTCTCGGATCAATTTCCTATCGTTTTCACTTATATACACATAAGTGTCTTTAAGCAACGATTTGTATTTATTAACAATCTGAATATTTTCTTCTTCGGGCGACAACATACTAATCTATTCTTTCTAGGGTTAATACATTTTCTACATGATGGGTCTGGGGGAACATATCCACCGCCTGAGAATTCACAATTTGATATTTTTCTTTTAGCATGGCCATATCACGGGCCTGAGTGGCCACATTGCAACTCACATACACTATTTTTTGAGGCGCCACCCGCATGATGGATTCAACCACCTTGGGATGCATGCCATCCCGAGGTGGATCGGTGATTATAATATCGGGGTGTCCATGGATTTGTACAAACTCATCGGTGAAAATGGTTTTCATGTCCCCCACCACAAACTCACAGTTTTGTATGTTATTGTCTTGAGCAGTTTGTATGGCCGCTTCTATGGCTTCGGGCACCGATTCCACACCAATCACTTTGCGGGCTTTGGCCGCCACCCACTGGCTAATGGTTCCTGTGCCACAATATAAATCGTATACCAACTCTTTGCCCGTTAATCCAGCTTGCTGTTGCGTTATTTCATATAATTTTACCGCTTGATTGTAATTGGTTTGAAAAAACGATTTGGGGCCTATTTTAAATTTTAAACCTTGCATGTCTTCCACCAAATGCGATTCACCAAAAAACACCACCATATCTTGATCGTAGATGCTGTCGTTTTGTTTTTGATTGATGCAATATTGCAAAGACACTATTTGAGGGAATTTATCTTGAATGGCTTGTAGTATTTGAGTAATGGCCTCCATATTGGGTTCACCAA